TAGTTCTGAGTAAAATGCAACGAAAATATTAAAATTACTTTTAATATTAAATTTTCTACAAGTTCTTAGTAATTCAACTTAAGATACCGTTTGATTGTTTAGTTATCTCTTGAATCATTTTTAACTGTCTTATCACCTATATTAATAAGTTGAGTAAAAACTAAATTAACTTCAATTTTAATATGATACGATTTTAAATGTTCTTCTCATGCAGAAAATTTTCTAGATCTTGTATTTCAACATAGAGATAATTTAATTAATAACAAAACATAATTAATATTAAAATAATATTAAAAAATTAATCAAAGTTAATTTAATTTTATATGTTTTGTGTAAAGTTCATATAAAATAATGAAAAGTCTCTAATAAATAGAGAAATTCACACAAAAGCATTTAATGACTGAATAAAAGAGGAAAAACAATTGATTTTCAATAAATTAACATTTTTTTTAAATTTGTATGTTAATTTTCATTATGAAAAAGAAATAACAATTTATGTTTTGTAGGTGTTAATTTTAGGTTTTTAAATTTACTTGAAAGTTTCATTTAACGTTACGGTTCACAGGAATATTTATTTATTTTTTTTTTTAACCAACAGGAAGTTAGTTTAAGTTAGACGTTTTGAACTGAAATTATCAAACAACTAATTCTCATTAATTTATTTTTTCAAATAACTGATTGTAAAATTCTTAAGCATAGATTTAACATTTAGAATATTTTTTTTTCGAAATGTTTATTATATTTAGTAAAAATCATTCCGTTTATAAATATATATATGACCTCACAAATTATGAAAATTGAAATATATGACTGTAATATTTATAACACGATATAATACTGAAGTAACGATTTTTACCAAGTGGTTTCTTTTATGAAAATTTGGTTTTTTAAATGAATATTCTAATGACGTCACAACAACATTAAAATCGTGCCAATGAATATACATTTTATTGTTGTAAAGCACATACTTATGCACAACCGATTTTCATGTCTGATATTAACTGATCTAGTTAATGTTCTTGATACATGTGATTATATAACCGATGTGGTTGTATGGAGTACCGAACTCAATTACTAGTATAAATTGTTTTGAGCACTTAGACTAATTACAAATGCATTTAGATTACGAAAACCTTTTGATTAACTACGCCACTAGCACATATTTTTATTTAAAATATTTGATGATAGTTGATTATGAAATGTTGACGTTTTTTTTTTTTTTTTACCCTGATGATTCGAATTTATATTTTATTATTATTAAAGATTTGATATTGAATATGGTATTTTTATTAGTATATTTTTATTTTCCATATTTCAATCATAGTGGATGTTTATAAAACCTTGGCTGACTTATAATACATTTTTTATTAATATTGATAAAAAATAAAAAAAAACAAATTACATTACTGCACAGTTACATAAAATATAGTTTACTGTGCTTAATATTTCGAAAATGTATATGTAAGTACACCTCTGGCGAGAAAGTTAAATATTAGAACAAACATCGAATATACTTCTGGAATGTTTTTATAACTTATCAAGTCATTTCCTTAAAAAATCAAACATTGGAATTCAGTTTGACCAACTATCAAACCAAGATCAATTTTTTTTAAAAGAAAAAAAAATTATATACTCTGTCACGTTCAATTTCCATGATGCTTGCATAATATTGATGAAGTAAGTAAATGCAAATGATTGAGATAACAGAATAATACCAAATGATTCTTATATCCATTGGAACTTTAATTTGAACGAATGTTGAATTTATTAAAATCCGTAACAGTTTAATAAAACAATGAAACGAATATATCGTCTAATAAAAAATTATATGAAATATCCGAAAATACGTAATAATTTACATAAAATGACCTGGAACTAGAATAGTACGTTACCAACACATTTTTTTGAGAAATATCGTGTTTGAGACGTAATGCAGACTGAAGAATCCGGCAATATTTCAAACATTAAAAATGATACTACAGGACTACGTAAGACCTTGATAGTTTTATATTAGGTTAATTATTTTTGTTATTTTTTTATCATAATTCTATAATATAAATAAATAACTGCTAGTCCATAAACGGAGGTACCTAATGTAGGTGTGGCGTAATTATTATTTTATTTTAATTCATTATATTTTATTGTTGATACAATTATGAAATTATATGTATACCAATTTTATATTACTAAACATTTTTTTTTAATATTGTTATATAATAATATCAAAATTGAATTTATGTACAAACTAATATTATAACAAATAAAAAAACTCGTTTGGCGATATTTATGTTACTATTTGGCTTTCTTAAAACAAGTATTAATTTCACAGTTCTATAATCCAGTTCTATAGTGTAATAAAATAATAAATATATGTAAATAAACATTATAAGTTATATTTTGATATTTTTCTTTTATTTTGAAATAAAATGTAGTAATTTCTTCAGAATATTGAGAAATGACAATTTCCATTGATAACATGTTATTTAAATATGTATTTTATAAATTACAATGAAATCTTAAATAAATAGAAAATATACAATTTAACTCTTTTTTTTTTTTTAATGATTTAACAGTTATGTTGACTAAATCGCTTATACCCTAATCCTAGCAAAATGAATCTAAAATAAAGAGAAAACCCTCTTAAATTATTTATATGTATACCTTCTATATAGGTATGTGTATATATAATATGTCAGAAAACATTTCTGAAATAGCACCGAATGGACGTTTTTTTTAACATTTTTATAAAAAGTTATCTTAGTCTATTCTTGTTCCGTATACTATAGGTTATATTATAATACCGGTTTGAGTCGCAGTTTTGTCAGCTTCGTTAGACGAACCACCTCCGGATTTTATAAAAAATGTTATTATAAAATACAATCTTATTCAAATTCACTCATCATCCTTATAATCCTTGAAATTTACTGATAAATATTTCCAGCTATCTGAAATAGTATTTTTGAATTTATGTAAATAATCGTAATCTGAATTAGCTAAAATAATGCGTTTATCGATAACAATGTCAAAAACGTTCACTATTTGATTATTTTATTCGGTTTTTAAAATATTTGCCGTCATTATAACGCAAAATAATTTTAATAATTTGTTTGTGAAATTAATTTTGAAAAATAACAAAAACTGTGCCCACAAAGTTTGTATTTGTGTACCTATTACGTCATATACCTAACAGAATAAACAAACACATTTTGAACAATATCATTTGAACAAATAGTGGCCGGAAAAACGGCTGAGTAAATTGAAACATGGTTGCGATGCCTTAATTTATATACGAAAAAAAAAGAATTCAGTTACCAGCCGGTGCATATTTCAAATTTTTGATGGTGCAGAACTATTAAATCGCCTTTGTTCATGCACAATAATCATAATACTATAATACGAGTATACTTCCGTTCTGATTTGACAACGCAAAACGCGATAGGCGTAAAAAATACACTTTTGATTAGATTAAATGGTACATAATATTATTATACGCATTATTATTTATGCGTATGGTTGCACGGTTACCCTTATTTCTCTACTCTCTTCCATATATACTTATTTATTACTCAAGTAACAACGTATTTGCTACTTGCATATTTTAAGTAATAAAGTAGTTCTATTAAGATTAATTAATCAAGGAAAGAACATTTACTTCTGTCATACTTTTAATTTTTAAAATTCCATAAAGATCTAAGTTATTTTATATGAATGAAAAAACTTATAGAAAGAAAAAAATCTAAGAAAAAATCTATTACTCAACCTAAACCGTGAGTACGCCACTGATCTCAACAAGAAATTTCCCAACGTCGATTCCTCAATAACAAAATATCTTATAAATAAATTAGATTAATATTTAAATTACTGTATTTTTTACCATCACGCATTAATCATCGACTAATTAAAACGAACGAAAAATTGAATTAAAAATTTAAAATTCCATAAATGCCTGTAATTTCAATATATTGTATAATATAAGCATTGTATATTGTATATTATATATCTTTAGTCTCTATACGTGTTTAACAAATTATTTTACCAGGGTTAACGGTGGGAAATAACTATCCCATATCTGTACGATAAATGTCCTTTTAAACAGATGTTTGCACATGAATGTATGTACGGAATTACCGTTATTGTACGAAGCTTGTTGTCTAGATTATTTCATTCGGCCGTCTACCTAAGTTATCTAAGTTATAATAAGTTTGATGTACGTAGTTAAAGCCCTTTAGATAATAAGGTGAATCATAAGACGAATAATAGATAAATAAATAAATAAATAAATTATTGCAATTTTTTTTTTTTTTACTTCTAAAACATTATTTAACACATTACATTACGTTCATAATAGTATTATACTGCTAACGCAATTAATTTCTCTCATAGTATGAACTTGTTAGTTATAATTAACGAAATTGCTTACATACCTTCTGACCAAGCAGTAATATTTTATATTCTAGATTATTGTTTTGGATAATATAGTATTCCGCAGTCCAAAACACTTTATAATAATTATTGATTTTCGTTGGGATCTCATTACAAATCGTAATTTACGATATAGTAATTAGTTTGAATAATATTTCATTAAACTAATCAATGGATTGAACAATTTCATCAATTAGTGACATTCATTTTAAAATTAACTATATTAGAAAATTATTTAAAAACGATTTTTAATTAATTGAAAAAACGGATATGATTGGCCTTTCAATTTTATGTATGATGATTTAGCATTGAAAAAAAAATTATAAAAATGCTTATTTTTAATTTCCGAGAACCGTAATTTTGTGAACTTTCTTTTTAGCAGAATAATGTTATCTATTTAAATACATTATATGCAAAGCAATGTGGGTATGCGTGTTGTTTTTTATATTTATTTGTTGGTTTTAAGTGATAACATTAAGTAATTAAAAGCAAGTGTATAACCTCATAATATTACTAGCCATTGTTATAAATATTAATTAGTTCACCATTGTTAACATAAATTTAGCACGATGAATTACCTGATATAGAACGTATTATCATATCAGGTGGTTTCAATAATTCCTGAAAAAAAAATAAATAAAAACTAAGTAAAATGTAAAAGTTGAAACTGCAGATGATTAGATGATAAATTATTCGTTGAAATCATATTAAAGTACATTTACGTTAAGACAATATAAACATTACCGTGTAAGACGAATAGAAATAATCGTACGTGGCTTTTTCAAGTAACTAAATTTACGAACGAGTAAATGACTGTGTTGTATATGGTACACTCAGTGTAACATAATAAGTCAATAATAAGGGCAAACATAAATTGCGCCCAATTGTTAATTGCGTCCGATATTTTTCAGGTATAAATGTTTATGTAGTAAATTGCGCCCAATAAAAATATTATTTTTATGATAGTCATATAGCATTACCCAGAGGACACAACGAGGAGGCGATTATCACTGTCCTCCAAAAGTTTTTTTTTGTTTACTTGAAAGGAATAAATTAATTAAAATTAATTTTATTTTTTTTTTTAAATATTATGGTATTAATTATAGTTTTTTAAATATTTTTTGTTAGGTTAAAAATGTTAATAATAAAAAATACAGTTATAAGTTATCTACATTGTAATGAGACATCATCTTCACAAATTCTGCCCTCGTAATAGTGTTTATTGTTGAATAATTTTTTCCGTTTTTTGAAATTTTTTTTTTTTTTTTTTTTTGATTTGGTATTTTTAAATGTAGGAATAAATGAAATGTATGAACTGAACCTATAAGGTTCATTTAAACTATTAATTTTTATATAAATTTCAGATTGTAACTCTAATATTTTATCCATAAAATTATAAATATAAGGTGGTTACTTAGATATTAGATACTATAAGCGTAATTTACAATCACCCAATAATAATTCAGCAATGATGTTATGGTAAAAGTGATCCCTATAAATACTTAGTATAATAGTTCCCAAAAATTAAAAACGGTCTTCACTCGAACAACGATAGGTTTTCTATACCAACAAAATACTCGTCCCTACATAGACGATAAACCACGATTATAAATGATTGGGAATATTTCGCAGTTTTCATCGAAATGCTGTTAATAGGTTAAACAGATACGTATTAAACGTGTGAGTGATAATTATAGTTAGTGAGTTTTTAGTTTTATTATGATTACGTGATGCTTTTTTTCGAGCCCGAAAATTAACCACGCATTCGAAACACGCACATCACGGTAGTTATTTTCAGAATCCTGCCGTACTCTACGTTTTTATTTTATTTTCGAAATCGTTCATCGAGCCCACGAAAACGTATTATAGCGGCAACTAACTTGAGGAAAATGAAACATAACATGGGTCAATTAATATAGTTGGAAAACCCTCTGGTCGAAAATGTACCGATTTCGTTGTTTTTATAATTTATAGCGAGTTTATACGCAGAACAACTGTGGCGGTGCACTGATTATAATATATTGAATACGCCCTGCAACTTCAACGGAAGAATAATATTAAAACAATATATGACACCCTTGAACTGCGCCAAAAAATTTAAAAATAACTACGAAAACTTAATTTTTCTTAACTTTTAATAATAAAGCATGAGAAAATATTATTACAGTTCCACACAATCCAGTATGATAAGCAACATACCGAAAGCGAATGACGCGCGGTGCCGTTTACAGACGAGACGATTAACAATAAAGCGAAACATAAAAATCTTTTTTTTTTTATCGGATATTCTCTGCGTGTCGGCAGCAGTGTAAGGTGAAACATTCTTGTTGAGTTTTTTTTCTTACATAACTACTATTAGCCTTTCGTGTGCAGATTTAAGTGACAAAGACAGCTTATTGCGTTAATAAACAATCTGGTGTAAACACAGTTTAGATGTTATTACACAACGCTGAATTCACTTTATACTATATACTGTACGCGTGAACGAACGCTTGATAGCGAATACCGTTTAATCAAGTTGGTGATTTTGTCCATTACAATTATTGATTAGTTAATAATTGATTCAAACTTAATATACTGAGCTATCGTCGGGGCTAGGTAAATTGGGTCCGCGATGTTTTGTGTACATTTTGAATGCGGTAAATTGAGTCCTGGAAAAAAAGATCTTAGGTAAATTGGGTCCCCAGAAAAAAAAAGGTAGTAGGTAAATTGAATCCCAACTACTAACTATACTACCTGGCCGTAGTCGTTTTACAAATTAAATTTCACACTGTTGTTATTGGTTATCGATTCCATTGTGATCAAATAACTTCGTCACGTCTTAACTTTGATTATGTCTAATTAAATTAACTATGATACGTAAATAGGCATATACGTACATTAGCTTGTCGCTTGTGTGTCAGTTAACAGTTAACACCAATATTGATTTTTATGATTTCGCACATACACGAGTGTACAAAATCTGAGCATTTTCACTATATTTTTCGTAGCGTTCATTGCGTACTATACGTCAATTTGAGTTTGTTAAATTCGTATCATTTAAGTTTTTACCGAAAATTTAATAAAAAATACAATAATATTAAAATTGACTTCTATTAAAAATTATTAGATACTTAAAAAAAAATTGTTTACCTTGACTTAACTTACTACTTTTTTTTCTTCCCCGGGACCAAACTTACCTACTCCTTTCTTTTCCCAGGACCCAACTTACCTACTGCCTTTATTTTCCCGGAACCCAATTTACCTAGAAAAGGTTATTTAAGACCCAATTTACCAACTCCTCTATCGTCTACCGGAAATATTTCAGATCAGTGGTGCCAAACACATACTCCAGACAGATCAATTGAACTGCCTAAATAATTAGAAATTTAAAAAAAAAAATGTCAAAATATCAAATTAATTATTTCATATATAACTTGGCATATGTTTTCTATTTAAAACAATTTGATTATTTATGAATGCTGAAATATTTTTTTGGGGTATTTGAAAAGGTAATGAACTGAAAGAGGTCGGTAAATCAATCTAATTACTTGAACTGACAATTTCAATTTAATTTCACACGGCGTCACTGTTTCAGATGAATATGCACAAAGAAAACTTTCCGAGACCAAAGTTAAAAAGTCAACAAGGAACAAGGTCAAGTTAATATTAACAGTATTATGGTTGTCTTAACATGATATGTTCATACAATATATATCATACCCATAGGCGTAATTTGGGGGACTTGGAGAGTAAGTCCCTTCAATATTAAAATTAGTTACTCCAAAATATTATATTTTTATTTAAGTATTAAATTTTTCATCAAAACGTTGATGCGTTTGTTACTTCTATGGTCAATTTTTTTAAAATAAATAAAATAAATGTACCTATTGCAGTCCAAGTATATAACGTTACTAGAGTTATGTCGGATAAATTCAACAATGTTTCTAAATATTAATAGATTGATCAATTTTTATAATTTAATTTTTAGTGTTGATTAAAAGTGGATGTAAATAGTCTTACTAATATTACTACTCTTCAGTTAAAAATATGGTAAAATGTGCTTATGGTGAAAAACTGTTTGTCCTGTAGAAACCCTACTTCGTTTTAGAAGATATAAAGTTAATCATGGATGCTGAGCTTTATCCTAACTTAAATAAACTTCTCATTATCGACAAAATATCCGATCAGCTCTATGATATGCGAAAGGTCATTCTCAGCCATGAGAAAGATTAAAAATTTGGCTTGGAACTTTTATGAGTCAAGATGGATTACCAATTTAACAACATTTTATTATTTATCTTTTTTAGTAAATTCTCTTGTTCTGATTTACCTAGTATATCTTTTCTAGATTGAATACTTTGTCACAATATTATTATAATAATATAAATAACATATTATGCCACTATTATAATGCCACTATATTCGATTCGCTTACCTCCTGACTAGTTACTTTCAGTTTATATTTGCTTGTAGTGATATTCGTCCAGGATTCGCAGCCAAACAAAGCTACACCCCCATTACTGCGAGATTTATCGTTAAATGTTTTTTATAGACTCATGTGTAATCCTGCTTTCTAGGTATATTACAAAATGTTGTTCTTTGATCATTTTTTTCAACAGCGATAAAAAGATGAAAATAATTTATATAAATGCTAGCTCTATATAAACGCAGTAAGATATAAAATTATGAAAAGCAAGTATAGTAATTTTAATTGGACCAATGTAAACTATAAAATAATTTGAAGTACAGTATTAGCCGAAAAAAGTTTTTCTTCACTATATTTTTTCCAAAATAATGTGAAATAAAACCCGCAGATTCACTTTCTCAGGTAAGCCCGCAGCTTTGACCGTTTGTATCAATGCGGCATTGCACAGTAATCGTAATATGTTTTACGCAAAGGTTCGCAAACTTGTAACAGTCTTGGTGAAATAAGTTATCACGGTGGTCATTTATTTTTAATAATGCGTATTCTTTCCACGCAATAGAAGGTAGTTTATTTACAAACTGATTGAGTGAAAATTATTCGAGCGCGGGCATGTATATAAACCGTTGTCACCAAAGCGTTGTCACTGGATGTCTCCTTCAATTCAAGCTTACGTGCATAATAATATTAGTATTATTTATATAGCTAGGAAATGTTTGTGGAAATGCCTAATGTTACTAATACTGATATTTAAAAAAATTGTATAATTTTTTAAATTAAAAACGAAAAAAAAATATAAGATAACTCTTTGTCGACAAAATCGAAAACATAATCCTAGATGTATTATGAAATTGTAATGGGGTATAAAAATTACATAACCATTTCAGCTGATTCATACAAAGTGATTTTTTATCTTGACCTGAACAGTATTGTCTTCATAGTAAATTTATTTCTAAGTAAATAAATAATTATTTTCATATAATATAAAGTCAATTTTGCAGTATTTTTGCGAAATGACAGAATACTCTGCCTTGGATAAACCTTTGATCATTTAGAGAAATATATATTCTGAATGAAGATTTGATTCAATTCCGTTACAAAATTATATTAAGAATACATACCAGTCAAGTGTACTGAAAGAGCCAACAACTAGTTAAAATGGAATTTTTCTCGGAAACATTGTTGTAATTTAAGAACTAAAGCCTAAAAAGTTATT